TGTAAAGAATAACAAATTCCTGCTGAACAATAGAGTATACCTGTCATTTATAAATCTATATTTAAATGCAAATAATGTTGTTTTGTTGTATTCATGACTGCTTGCATTGTTATTTAAATGCAAATTACTGTGTTTGTTATCATCCAAGAGAAGATTTTATATTAACTTTCATACAATATAGCCAGTTTACATGGAATCAGATATCTTAGAGTGACAATTGAATAGATATTGATATGCAGGATTTTGTCAAAAATCAATATTAAATCATGAAAATGCCTTCATGTTAGAGCATTTATTGCATATTTTTATTCTAGGCATGAATGGTGACAACACAGATTCCCAGAAGCTGAACAAGATCATATCTGAAATACAGGCTTTACAAGAGGTGGTGGCTCGGTTTAGACAACTCCGGTTAGATGCTACTGAATTTGCCTGTCTAAAATGCATCGTCACTTTCAAAGCTGGTAAGCAGACACAAACTGCTGTCTCTTCTCCTTCCCCAGTTTTGCCATCTCACTAATTCAGCCACCTCCAAGTCCAAAAAAGAGGTGATGGTTTTCAAGAGAGCTGATACTCTTAGTCTGACTCCATTTTCGATAGCCATGGAACCTGCATGTTCTTCTGCTGGCCATCCACTTCCAGAGAGTGCTTTCCCCATCTGCATTTCCTGTGCTGCCAATCACAATTTCCTGGTCTTCATTTCTAGTTCCTACACACAGTGGTTCTGAACTGAGAAGTTTCCGGAATGCTGCCGCCATCGCAGCTCTTCAAGATGAGGCTCAGCTAACTCTCAACAGCTACATCCATACCAGGTGACCCTTGTTTGCCTTGAACGCGTACTTAAGAAAATTGCTTCCATTGTGAATGTGTGAGCAGACAGCAAAAAGCCAGTTCAAACATTGTGACTAATTATCCTGTTGCCAAGCCAGTTAATTTAATTAGAATCTATGTCCTCACGTATTTCGAAGGGTAGGTGAGAGGAGCAAATCAAATTACGTCACAAAACTGAAAGCACTGCCAGACACCTTACATCTTTCCTGGATGAATAAGTTGATCCATCAATATAGCTGAACACATTGAGGTGAATGGGCCCAGATATGAGCAAGGTGAAAAATGAAGGCTAAAATGTTATGTTAGTTGATATATTAGAGAGTGGTCACATGATCCTTTGAAAAACGCAAGTGCCTTTCTTTGGATGCCAATCCCAAATAGAAGGACCAGAGAACTTTCTAAAGCGGTCATCTTTAACCCCATCATGACTGCTGTCTGGCTTTGGTGATTGGTATCTGTTGACTTATTTTGAGCCATAGCACCCATCATGTTACTTCTGGCCAAGCAAAGCTCACTGACAGAGGCTGTTCTTGGCTATTTGTAGAAACTCTCAGTCACTGGGGTTCCAGCAGTGCTCCTCCTGGCCCACCAAATGGGCAAATCCACCACGAGGTCTACAGACTTTCTGATTCCATTTTCAGATGAAAAAAGCAAGGCTTTTAAAGAGCAGTGAAACCTTGCTAGCTTCCTAAGTTAGGGCTGCAGTAGATCTGAGGTTAGAATAGAGTTGCTCTTCTTACTTATTCTCTAGATCTTGAAGAGAAGCCCATGGAAATCAGTCTGTATCATCTCAACATCACCCATAGACACTATGCTGGGAGACACTAAATCAAATGGGTAGAGGCAGTTAATGCTTCCATTACTGAAGGGGTCAAAGAAACCCCAAGTCACCTGTATTCATTTGGGGTGATACCACTTCTGCAGGGATCTCCTTATTTCTTTTATAAATCCTCTTTTGAATACTAATGAGTAAAACTGTTCCCTGTCCCAGAGTCGTTGAATGTAGCTTTTCGGAATTCCTATTCCTGAAAGCTTTAGGCTTCACAGTAGATCCTCAATAGCTAATAGCAGCCAATATCTATTGAGTGCTTACTGTGTGCCTTACAACCCAGCATATTATGATTTTCCCTAAAAGTAGGGGGAGTATACGAACAAGTAAATTTGTAAAATGTGAGTTTAACAACAACAACAAATTGTTCCCTGTCCATGGAATATCACTGAAACTGTGATGAGTGATAGAGCCTGTGTACGTTTTTCCAAATTAAAGTTCCGTGGTTTTAAATTTAAAATCCACATTAACTTTCAGAATGTATATAGTAAGCACTTAAGTTTGTTCAGAATTATAAAATGGAACAGTACATAATTTGGGCACTTTTTCCCCACTAAAAACTAAATTGTATATCATAACCGACCTCTGACATTTAGAGTCTTTAAGGTATAAAGAACATCACACCAAGAGAATATGATACTAGGTATTGATTCAGTCAAGCCTTTGCTGAGTACTCGCTTTGTGCAGGGTGGCTGGTGAGCACTGTGGAACACGAGAAAGGACAAGATACTACCCATTATCATTACAGGGAGTAGGCAGAAGTGTTACTCCAACTCAGACCAGGGAAGAGAAAAAGCAAAGTGGGGAGTGAGAGAGAGAAATTCTCGTTTGAGCGAGTGAGAAAAAAATCTGCAAAGTCTGATGCATTGAGAAGACATGTGAGCTAGTTCTTGGATTCCAGCAGGAGAGAAGGGGACCAACAGGAGGCAGAAGAGGGGCTGGTAGAGGTGCCATGGAAGGTGCCAGAGGGCGAGTAAGGAGAGTCTGAGAGAGCCTGACATTTCAGGAGCTGCTTGTAGGACGACCTGAGAGAGTTAAACCACAAATTAACAGAGGGTCTGGTTTAGAGAAATGACAAGTATACTACTTCTCTGTCACCCTCAAAACAAGGAAGTTATTCACGGAAGGAACACATCTGCTTTGACATGAGCCATTCATTTCATGATATCAGCTACAGCTAGAATTTAATACTAATATCTAGAGTCATACATGTGACAAAACTGACTATACCTTACTGCTTAGCTCCTTCAAATCAGTGAACATTCTCCTCTAGCACCTTCCTGTCTAGAAAAATAAAATCTGAAATTGAGAAGTTAATGTGGCAAACTGAGCTAATTGTGCATTAATTGTTAAAGCTGCAAACTGAGCTAATTGTTACAGCCCGGTAAGTGATTTCTCTAATTATCTAGGACATGAGGAGAGGGCTAGAAATTGGCATTTCAAACAAACTATATATAACTACATGTAACAACTATATATAACTATATATAATAATAAACAATTTAGTTATATATAATAAACTATATAACTGACAATCAAATACCCGAATCCGTGACAGACACAGAACACTTACACCTGGAAAGAAAACTTCCAGTTATGTATGCTGATGAAGTCAAGGGCATAGATACTCTACAAAATAATTTTGAGCAGTCAGAGAGCCCCTCTCTTTCCTTCTCTCTCTGTCTCTGTCTCACACACACACATACACATGGTTATTGTTTCTGGGTAGTAGAGTACTCCACGTATAATAAACACTTAATTTGTGTTGACTGACTAACCAGCCCCTTCCTAACTAGAGAATAAAAGAAGTGGGTGAGTAGGTGAGTGGATAATCTACTCACAGAAAATCAAGAGTTAACTGTCTGTGGAGTCACCAAAATACGTCCTTTCTGAAAGTAATTATTTCCCACAGTGTTTTCTCACTGTGGGAAACTTCAGCATGTTGGGTGGATGCTGCAGACACAGTGGGGGCTTATCTAGGCAGCCACTGCTTCCCACCCACTGCAGAGGGCTTCTCTCCTCTGCCTGCCTGAGAAGGGAAACAGAGCTGTGGAAGAGAGTAAGTGGCCAAGGTGAAAGGGAGACGTGGGCCTTGGGAATACTTTCCAGGGAATGTAGGAGATGTTTTTGGCAAGTAGAGTAAGCGGTGGGATTTATGTATTTTTTTAAATGTAGAGAAGCTCCACCCTGTCCATACCACATTATTAAAGGTGGTCTGGTGGTCCCTGTCCATTGGTGGTCATGAAGCTGGGCAGTGAAAGAGCCAAATGAGGTCCTCAGAGGCCCAGAATGAATGATCAGCCTCGTATCAGGTTGAAGAGAGGGACTCTCTTGTGCCCAAAGCTAAGAGACAAGCATGAAAGTTGTTCCCCTGGACTCTGCACGGTGGGGTTATTGGGCAGTTAAACTCAATGTTCAGCTACCTAACTCCTGCGTAGGAATTGATATCTGTCAGTTTCTAGCACCTGTGGCCATGGACTGACCATGGCTGAGTCACAGATAAGTGTCTCCAGAGGTCAGTCTTTTGGGTGGTTTGTGTCAGTGGAGGGAGACCTCCTGGTAGACTGTATTGACACCTGATTCCAAGCTATTGACTGAAGACGCATCAGGGCAGTGAGGAGATGGCTTATAGGCATCTAAAGGCAGCAGAAAATTGAACTTGCACATCTGAGCACAGAGGTATGTTGGACATCAAGAGAGGAGATTGTTCAGCAATTTCTCACATCTTTAATTATATGCCAATTTCATTGACATGAAAGTTGGGTGGCACTGCCAGCCAACAGAACTTAGTCTTTAATTTGCAGTGTAATAAGGAGGGAATTATTCCTGAGAGTGACTAAGTATAGTGCCTGAATAATAATTTAGAGAATTGCTTAGGAATCCAAAAGGAATCCATTTTATTTGAGGGAAATAGCCTCATGAAGGAGTCTTGTGAATCAGAAAATGTGGATGTTGTCACTAGTTTTGTCATCAGTACCATTGGTTGGTTTCTACACTGGCAACCTTAAGTTTATTATTTGGTCTAAACTTAGTACCATGTTTCTTAAAAGTACTTTTTCTCCAAAAAAACTGCAAGCCCTGTGCTAATGAGGAGACAGTCACCGTGTGCTTTTGGCAGCATCATTATGTTCTCCATGCCTCAATTATTCCACCTGCAAAACAGGGACAGTAGTGCCTGGCTAGAACTCTGTAGTATGTTATTAAAGAGGCTGAATCAGGAAATTAAGCTGAAGATGGTGTGTGTTCAAGGATGAGATATTAAGCCTGTTAGTGATGGATCTTACCTTGCTTTCATGGCTTCTCCTATTCCAGATATCCCACTCAACCCTGTCGCTTTGGAAAACTCCTGTTACTTTTGCCAGCTTTACGTTCTATTAGTCCATCAACCATAGAGGAAGTGTTTTTCAAAAAAACCATCGGCAATGTGCCAATTACAAGACTGCTTTCAGATATGTACAAATCCAGTGATATCTAAGCTCTCCAAGTCCCTACTTTTCAGGATGGGACAGTATCTGATGAACTTCTACCCATGGAGAACAAGCCTCAACTAACAAACCCTTCAGGAAGCATAAACCTGGGAATGTGTAGCCTTCAGGAAAAAATATCAATTGACACAAAACAATTCCAGTAGCTCTGACCTGCTGCCTCACCCAGGGTGGGGTGGCCTGGAAGGAAAAGGGGGTGTAAGAGGACCGCCTGAGCAGAGAGGACTCACTGCTACCATGCCCTGGGAGGGGACCGAATTCGGGGTTGCCACAGGCCAGGCCATTCTGCCTCTTACCCGGAAGATCAGGCTGATCTATCAGCAGCTGAAACATAAGTAGAACATTTTCTTTCCCTTTTAGCACATAAAGTTGGGTGAGCAAATATAGTTCTGTGTATAACATCATACAGCAGCCTTCAGAACTATCTTATGTTGAAGAATTTATTTCAAAAATAATGGTTAGGTTTTAAATCAAAAGTTTTATCAGAAGTTTCCCTTCTATTGTACTACTTCATAAAGTGGCCTTCAGAACTGAGTTAATAAGTGAAAGGTAGCTTGTGCTGTGAGATTTGCTTTTTCTCTTTCTTTCTTCCTCTTCCTCTTCCTCCGTCTCCCCCGCCCCCTCCTTCTTCTTCTTAATACCATAGGCCAGGCAACCTTGTCAAAGGAATTGGTGGACGAAAATGAGATTCTCACCAGGACTTCAGGTTGGATAACATCTAAAACTAGAAGAGCTTTACTAAAAGAACACAAGTCGAGGGAGGATGAATAAAAACAGCAAAACCAAATAAAGTGGAGATGAATGATGGAGTGAGGCAGACTGCTGTCCCATTAACATAGTGCTGAAACCAAAGGCAATGGGGGTCCAAACTCGTGTTTCAGCGAGTCACACCAGACAGTAAATGAACAGAGACATGAGACCAGAAGGAACTTCAAGGAGATGGATGCTAAAGGGCTTCTTGATCCAATGCTAACAGCTTGAGACTCTTCAATGCCTTTCAGAAAACCGGTTTCTAGTAAAGCTTTGAATGCCTGCACGTGCACACACACACTTCGTCCTACACTATAAGCTGCTCCTTTGGTATGAATCTCTACTTATGGAAGTGTAGAAACAAACATTTTAAAATAGCTGCTGTACTTTTCACATTTTGATTTATTAGGTACTAGCACTGAGGAAAAATATTCAGCACTTGGACTATTATAGGATGAGTAAAAATTTCCTTGTATAAAGTGAATTAACTGATTTGTGAAGTTATAAGGTTGTACTCATTGTATTTACAAAGAATAAAAAATATATTGAATTTAAATGAACCCTGCCTGATTTCTTAGCCTCCCTCCCCGGCTGGTTCTTATCCACCAGTTACAAGGCGGCGGCGGCAGCTGGTGTAAAAACTGAAGCTCAGAGCACTGCAGCCTGAAGAACTGAACCACAAAGGCAATTTCCTTTTTACAGTGAATCCCATGTAAAATGATGAATAAAGAAATAAAACATAAGATTCCGTTCTCTGCAGCTCTCAAATGTAATTGCATCTGTTAGAAAAATTGCTGTGTGAGGAAGAAAGAGGCCGATTAACAGAGTCTTCATTCACTCACTCCTCTGTTTAACTCTCTTGCCAACATTTCAGTCCTGACCAGGAACTTAAAATTATTTAATGATCAAAAAGATAAAGTGTGAAGAACCACATTGGTGAGTAAGATGCGGAAAGAGCAGTAGAAAGTGCATTGAGATGTTCCCAGCAAATCTCAGGGCACTGGTCCCACAGCCAGAAGCCGGTGGTGGAAATCAGAGTTGCCCAAGGACATGGGCACTATGCGTTCCTCCTGGGCAGCAGCTCCAGCAAGAGTCTGGAGGAGAGGCACTAGCATCTCTTGGCTAAACTGACTTGGCAGATAGCATGTGTGGAAGTTCAATCAGCCATCCACTCCTAGTCCACTGATTCCACTGAGAAAAAGAAGTTGGTCTTAAAGGAAAGCAAGCTACTCAAAGATGTGTACAAGAATGTTCTTTACAACACTGTTCATATTTAAGGACTAAAATGTTCACCAGCAGAGAATAGATAAATTGTGGTAAATACAGACAGTGTTAACAATAGTTCAAGTGAATGGACTAGAGCTGATGTATAACATAGGTAAATCTGGAATATGGTGCTGGGGGAAGTGAATCCCAGAGGATACATACAGATTGGTTTTAATATAAAATTTTGCAACCTACAGAACAATACTCCACCATGCTTATAGATATACAAATGTATAGCATATGTTTAAAACAAACATGAGTATGGTAAACACTAACCGTATGATAGTGGTTACCTTTGGGAATGGATGGGATTGCTGAAGGGTACCAAGAAGACCCTCCCTCAAATGTTTCTGAAATGGTTGATTTCATAAGACAAAAGAGAATTGCAAACAAATATAAGTTCAATGACAAGATTTGGCAAAGATGAGCAATGGATTCAAGGCTGTTCATCCATGTATTAATCAAGTTTTACTTCAATAATGCTGAATTACAACCCCCAAGACTTTTAACAACAAACTTGTATTTCTTGCTCATGGGACTGCTGGGCTGGGCACCTGGCTGCAGTTTGGGTTCAAGTGGGCTCCAGTGTTCCCTCATTCTGGACTAGCATCTTCCTTAGAGAAACTTCTTTGCATGACAGAGTGCAGAAGTGCAAGGGGCTGAGCCAAACCATGCGAACACATTTAAAGCTGCTGCTCCCGACATGTGTGTTCACTTTCCACCAGCCAAAGCCAAACACATGGCCAAACCCAACCTCATGGGGGCAGGGAGTGTATGCTTCTCGAGGAAGAGGAGGGGGGAATCACTGACATAATAAAAGGATAAAGAAGATGTGGCACATATATACAATGGAATATTACTCAGCCATAAAAAGAAACGAAATTGAGTTATTTGTAGTGAGGTGGATGGACCTAGAGTCTGTCATACAGAGTGAAGTCAGAAAGAGAAAAACAAATACCATATGCTAACACATATATATGGAATCTAAAAAAAAAAAAAAGGTCATGAAGAACGCAGGGGCAAGACGGGAATAAAGACGCAGAATTAAGTCCATTCTCTACTAGAGAATGGACTTGAGGACACAGGGAGGGGGAAGGGTAAGCTGGGACAAAGTGAGAGAGTGGCATGGACATATATATACACTACAAACGTAAAATAGATAGCTAGTGGGAAGCAGCTGCGTAGCACAGGGAGATCAGCTCCGTGCTCTGTGACCACCTAGAGGGGTGGGATAGGGAGGGTGGAAGGGAGGGAGATGCAAGAGGGAAGAGATATGGGGACATATGTATATGTATAACTGATTCACTTTGTTATAAAGCAGAAACTAACACACCATTATAAAGCAATTATACTCCAATAAAGATGTTAAAAAAAAAACCTATCACAGTCAGAATCTAATCTATTTGAGATACTCTCAGTAAAGTTAAAAGGGAGTAAGTTTCCTGTGACATGCCACGGAATACTGATTTCCCACCGGAATTGCCTTTGTTTGGGGCGTCTCTGCCATTACAAAGAAGAATCAAACCTGGCTTTCGTAAATCAACTATAGTTTCAAAACAAAACAAAACAAAACCCTGGCTTTCAACATTTGAGAAAGCCCAGAATTAAAAACCCAGTAGCGCGCTCATCTGGGATTCTGAAATCTCTGCTGTATGTATGCAGCCTGGATACTTTAAGAACTCACCGCTTGCTTAGATTTTAAGGCAGAGACATCCTCTAGGGCTGCTGTTGTGGGGAGGTGTCACTGCAGTCTTGGATAGACAAATTCCAGATCTACAGTTTCAAGTTCTGCAATTTGAATATACCAACAAGAGAAGGTGAACCCAGCTAAGTGATTACTGCAGTCAAAAACCAGTCTTCAGTGCTTCTCCTTTGACAAATGTTTTTTCTCAATCTGGGAGGGTCACCTTTTAAGAGTAGTAATTGTGTACGATGACAATTAGATATGGAGTCTTACATTTGTGTTTGAATTACTTTTAGTTGTTCTTTGATGCTAGGGAAGAGAAAGAACAGAAGATGAGTTCAGAAACTGAATTGAGATTCCCAAATTATTTCACTTGTAGTTCAAGATTTTTAGTTCAGTTTAGGAGCCCAAGAACTGAACCCACTGGCCAGAGACCTGCACTGTGGTTGCTGTCCTTAATCATTTATATAAAAATGGAAACCCTCTGTGGTGATTGTTTTGTGATGTATAGAAATATCGAATCTATATCGAATCTATGTTGTGCACCTGTAACTAACATAGTGTTATAGGTCAATTACACCTCAGTTTTAAAAGAAGAAAGGACATGTAATCACAGTATTCTAATAGGTTCTGCAGTTAACAATTTTTACATTGTTATAATAATACAAACACTAATTATTGGTATAATTAAAAGTATGATAGGGGGCTTCCCTAGTGGCGCAGTGGTTGAGGGTCCGCCTGCCGATGCAGGGGACGCGGGCTCGTGCCCCGGTCCGGGAAGATCCCACATGCCGCGGAGCGGCGGGGCCCGTGAGCCATGGCCGCTGAGCCTGCGCATCCGGAGCCTGTGCTCCGCAACGGGAGAGGCCACAACAGTGAGAGGCCCACGTACCGCCAAAAAAAAAAAAAAAAAAAATGTATGATAAAATTTTTGGGAGAGGATGAGGGAGGAGAGGTGGAGGTACTAAATCTTCATCTCATAATATTTATACATTTAAAAATTGCCTTTTTTTTGTATCTGTGAGATGATAGATGTTAATCATTTCACAATATGTAACTCAAAGCGTCATGCTGTGCAAGTTAAACTTATACCGTGACGTATGTCAATTATTTCTTAATAAAACTGGGGGAAAAACAAACAAGGTAGAGAACAGGAAAAAAAAAGGAAACCCATCCTCTTCTCTGAAGTTATTTGTGTGTGTGTGGCTCTCTCTCTCCCAATGGTACATGTGGCTCTACTTCATTCGTTTTACCATCTGCCTAGGACTTCACTGTATGGATGGACTACAGTTTACCCAACGAATTCCTTATTGGTGGACTTGGGTGGCTTGCAGTTTTTCACTGTAGTAAATTAAACTACACAGAGCCGTCCTTCTATGTACACTTCTGTGGACTTGTGGGGGTATTTCTGTAGGATAAATTCTACATTAGAAGTGGCATTTCTGGGTCAAAAAGATTATATGCATTTTTAATTTTGATACATATAACCAATGGCTCTCCAAAAGGGTTGTATCAATTTGCACTCCTGTGAAGAGGGTATGAGAGTGCCCATTTCATTGCTCAGAATTTAAAAGTGCTTAATCACACACAGGCTTGATGAACACTTCAGAAGCTGTTAGAAAAATACAGAGAATACATACGTTTCAATAATGAATATGCCTCTGCTACTGGACTGGTGAAGTTGGTTTCACTTTTCACCCATGGTTAGAGCTTGGTTCCCTAAATTTTTCAATCCAGGCCACTTCTAGGAACTTTTTTTTTTTTTTTTTTT